GCTCGGCAAGAACTGCACATTTCGGCCGATTTTCAGCTGGCTCCGCCTATCGCGTTCCCCCTTACCTCGCCGTCCCGCGCGAAGCCTACGAGCCGCTCGGCGCTCAGTAACGGGCATATGGCAATAGCTTTCCGCGTCACCCATGAGGTACTATTGTTGACGCGTTTTTTTTAAAGTGGTATCCCCAGTAGGCCTAATCCACTGATGACTAAAATGAACTAATTGCACAGAATAATAAATAATAATTGATTTGAATATTTATGACTTTCGGGATTTTTTAGAAGCGAGATCAGGAACATCAATTTCTATATTGCATGTAGCAAGTCGCATAAGACGTGATAAAGAATCATCGCTTAAAGAAGAACGTTTCTCATTCTTTATAAACTTCATTTTTGAAAATGAAGTCTCGCACAAATATGTGGATCCGAACATAGAATAAATTCGGAGTCCGAAATCGCGAAGCTTGGGATAGGATAATTTTGATAAAATTTTATAAAATTCAACACCAGTTTCTTTAACCGTTTTCAAAGAAATATCACTTTGTAAATTACATAATTCATCTTGTAAATCAAGATGTTGTTCTTCGATTGACGCTGTAAGAGGATTCTCGAAAAGAATTAATTCATTTCTAAGTTTTTCGAAACAGGTAAAACGCGTATCGAATTCTTCTATAAGACAATCTACGAAATAAATATATTTTTTGAAATCACAGCTACTACCGTATTCTTCGAGAAGAATCTGGCAAGAAGGGAAAAAATGAAAAATATCGTTATTTAAATGAGATTTGAATAACTGTAATTTTCTTCGGAAAGAATCAACATGACTAACTAATTGGGAAATATTTTGATTAGTTTTTTGCAGCTTTAAATTGAGAAGCCTAAGTTGATTAGTCATGTCAGTAATAAATCCAAGTTCGCTAAGAAATGTGATATCCTCTAAAAGAGATATATATTCTTGAAATTTTTAATTGTTCATTTCTTGCAAGAAAAGGAGGATCTCTTTTCTTATTGCAAAAAATGTTTCCAAACATTTTGCAGCACTAAGCCAACGTACTGGACAATGAAGTGGGACATCTGTGTGAACAGCATTATGTTCATTGAGAAATAATTGAAATTTCCGATGAGTAAGAAATTTATGTCCACCTTTAATTATATTAATTATTTTAGTCACAGTCTCCATAGCTGTTGACAATTTAATAACTTTACCGCTTAATGCTTCCTGATGTATTATACAATGTATAATAGGGATGTTAAAGTTTCGCTGCTTTAATTGACCGGCGAATCCTATCTTCGAACCTGTCATAGCTTTCGCGCCATCCGTCGTAATCGAAGAACATTTACTAAAATCTACATCAAATTTTTTAAGTGAGTCTTCAACTGCCAAAAAAATATCAAGACCCGTTGTTGTATCATGTAATGAGACAAAATCTAAAAGCTCCTCGACACATGAGAAATCGTCTTGCACGATTCGAGTAAAAATACTCAATTGACTCAAGTGTCGAATATCGGTGCTTTCGTCAAGACATAAAGAAAAATACCTACATGACTTTAAAAGATTTCTTAATTTTTCTCTTACAGAATTACTGATATCAGTAATTCTTGACGTTATTGTTTTTGCACTAAGGGGAATACTCATTGCTTCCTCAAGAGTTAAGGAATTACCGAAAGCTTTCACTGCTTCGATGATGCAGTTTTTCACAAATGAACCTTCGGCAAATGATTTTGAATTTTGTGCTATGAGCAAAGAAATAGCATAAGATGCGATTAAAGATTTTTGAGAAGAATTTTCAGACGGTATTGCATCTTCTTGATACACTAATTTCAATCCTTCGATAATACTCAATTTTTCTGAATTCGAATAATTGGAATATTCGACTGAATGACGAATTCTAAAATGTCTCTCTATTGCAAATTTTTTTACTACCGAAGGTTCAAAACCGCAAAGTAAACAAACTATTCGATCGGAAATGTAACTGAAAAAATAATTAAATTCCCAAGATTTATCAAATTTCTGAACATACCTTTTATCATCCATTCTTAAGATTGAAGAATGAAGATTATTAATCCTTTCACTGCGAACTTGATCTGCTATCAGCTGTCAGAGGCTGTCTCGAAATCAGCTGTCAGAGGTTGTCTCGAATCGTCAATGTGTCCACTATGATTGAGAGAGTTTAAAAGACTCAACACTGATAACGAATGCACGTTAGAAAACAATTGCAAAGCACGGTAGCGACTGTTACGAGGTTTTTTGTTTTAATTGTTGATCAGTGTTCAGTCTTTTAAACTCTCTCAATCATAGTGGACACATTGACGATTCGAGACAACCTCTGACAGCTGATTTCGAGACAGCCTCTGACAGCTGATAGCAGATCAAGTTCGCAGTGAAAGGATTAATAATCTTCATTCTTCAATCTTAAGAATGGATGATAAAAGGTATGTTCAGAAATTTGATAAATCTTGGGAATTTAATTATTTTTTCAGTTACATTTCCGATCGAATAGTTTGTTTACTTTGCGGTTTTGAACCTTCGGTAGTAAAAAAATTTGCAATAGAGAGACATTTTAGAATTCGTCATTCAGTCGAATATTCCAATTATTCGAATTCAGAAAAATTGAGTATTATCGAAGGATTGAAATTAGTGTATCAAGAAGATGCAATACCGTCTGAAAATTCTTCTCAAAAATCTTTAATCGCATCTTATGCTATTTCTTTGCTCATAGCACAAAATTCAAAATCATTTGCCGAAGGTTCATTTGTGAAAAACTGCATCATCGAAGCAGTGAAAGCTTTCGGTAATTCCTTAACTCTTGAGGAAGCAATGAGTATTCCCCTTAGTGCAAAAACAATAACGTCAAGAATTACTGATATCAGTAATTCTGTAAGAGAAAAATTAAGAAATCTTTTAAAGTCATGTAGGTATTTTTCTTTATGTCTTGACGAAAGCACCGATATTCGACACTTGAGTCAATTGAGTATTTTTACTCGAATCGTGCAAGACGATTTCTCATGTGTCGAGGAGCTTTTAGATTTTGTCTCATTACATGATACAACAACGGGTCTTGATATTTTTTTGGCAGTTGAAGACTCACTTAAAAAATTTGATGTAGATTTTAGTAAATGTTCTTCGATTACGACGGATGGCGCGAAAGCTATGACAGGTTCGAAGATAGGATTCGCCGGTCAATTAAAGCAGCGAAACTTTAACATCCCTATTATACATTGTATAATACATCAGGAAGCATTAAGCGGTAAAGTTATTAAATTGTCAACAGCTATGGAGACTGTGACTAAAATAATTAATATAATTAAAGGTGGACATAAATTTCTTACTCATCGGAAATTTCAATTATTTCTCAATGAACATAATGCTGTTCACACAGATGTCCCACTTCATTGTCCAGTACGTTGGCTTAGTGCTGCAAAATGTTTGGAAACATTTTTTGCAATAAGAAAAGAGATCCTCCTTTTCTTGCAAGAAATGAACAATTAAAAATTTCAAGAATATATATCTCTTTTAGAGGATATCACATTTCTTAGCGAACTTGGATTTATTACTGACATGACTAATCAACTTAGGCTTCTCAATTTAAAGCTGCAAAAAACTAATCAAAATATTTCCCAATTAGTTAGTCATGTTGATTCTTTCCGAAGAAAATTACAGTTATTCAAATCTCATTTAAATAACGATATTTTTCATTTTTTCCCTTCTTGCCAGATTCTTCTCGAAGAATACGGTAGTAGCTGTGATTTCAAAAAATATATTTATTTCGTAGATTGTCTTATAGAAGAATTCGATACGCGTTTTACCTGTTTCGAAAAACTTAGAAATGAATTAATTCTTTTCGAGAATCCTCTTACAGCGTCAATCGAAGAACAACATCTTGATTTACAAGATGAATTATGTAATTTACAAAGTGATATTTCTTTGAAAACGGTTAAAGAAACTGGTGTTGAATTTTATAAAATTTTATCAAAATTATCCTATCCCAAGCTTCGCGATTTCGGACTCCGAATTTATTCTATGTTCGGATCCACATATTTGTGCGAGACTTCATTTTCAAAAATGAAGTTTATAAAGAATGAGAAACGTTCTTCTTTAAGCGATGATTCTTTATCACGTCTTATGCGACTTGCTACATGCAATATAGAAATTGATGTTCCTGATCTCGCTTCTAAAAAATCCCGAAAGTCATAAATATTCAAATCAATTATTATTTATTATTCTGTGCAATTAGTTCATTTTAGTCATCAGTGGATTAGGCCTACTGGGGATACCACTTTAAAAAAAAACGCGTCAACAATAGTACCTCATGGGTGACGCGGAAAGCTATTGCCATATGCCCGTTACTGAGCGCCGAGCGGCTCGTAGGCTTCGCGCGGGACGGCGAGGTAAGGGGGAACGCGATAGGCGGAGCCAGCTGAAAATCGGCCGAAATGTGCAGTTCTTGCCGAGCTCTGATTTAGAGGATTAGCCATATTGTAATGTTATTTTATTCTTAAGTTATTTTTTATATTTTTGGCAAATATTATATAACAGAAATTACATAAATAATTAAAAAATGTATTAAAATCTTATATTAATGTATAGTAATTATATATCACAAGTATATATTTATTTTTTATAAATATTTAACATACATACACTTGAGAAAAAAAGGATAAAATAAAATTTCAAAGATAAATAATAATTTTACAATGTCATGCTGAATATCAAAATATAGTCTGAAGTATCATGAAATTTAACCTACATCATATATATATTTCAGCATTTGCTAAAAAACAAAATTTATTATTTTAGTACTATAAAATTAAAAAAAATATGCACTCTTGTATATAAATATAAATATATATGTGTGTGTGTGTGTATGTATATATATATATAAATAAAATAAAGTAATATTTTTTATAAATTCTATAGCAATGGCAAAAATTATTCAAGTTACTAGTCATATATGCATGTGTAAGTGATGTGTACATGTGTGATATGTATATGTAAGATTTGATTTGTTTTGTCCTACATTTGTACACACTGCACTTTTTTTTTACATTGCACATTTTTCACAGCATTTGAACTCATATTGTTACTTATAAGATAATTATATTAAGAAAAATATTTGAAAATCAATTTTCATTATTTATTTTAATTTTCTTTGTTATCACCTGCGTCTGCTTCATGTCTATATTTTTGTTCTCTTGAAAGCCTTAATTTGCTAAGACGGAACCATTCACTCGCTGCCTTTTGAAAATGTATTTCTTGAAAATTGTAATGCGTTGACAATACTGCATCTTAAAATATTTGTATAAGCAAAAAAATAATATTCACATAAATAAAATATATTTGAAATCAATTGAATAAGCAAATGGAAGTACTTACTTTGAATTACTGTTATTAGTGAAAGATCACAAATCTTGAAATTGTTTCGTTGGCCTAACCAACTGCACTTTGTACCAAGGTGATTTGTAAAAATTCTTTTGAATATTGCTTTTACGTTGTCTGTTCCGTTTGCACCACCAATACGTTTGACATACATTATCTGAAAATATTTATTAATTTTAACTACTAAAGCATTTTTGTAATATACAATAACTGCTTTCGCGACAGAATCAAATTGATCCAGAATAAATAGAAAATTCAATGATATTTCAGATTTGACCAATCACAACGCAGGCTCATTTTATTCTGGATCATTTTGATTCTGTCGCAAAAGCAGCTAATATATCCAAATAACATACAAATGCTTTTTTAACATTCTCGTTTTCCATAGATTGATCAAAATGAATCAATTGATCAATTGTTTTTATAGGCAATTGATCTTGTATTATTTGTACTTCCTCTCCATCGGAATCATTTTTTTTCTTTCTATTCTCGAGACATTTCAGTCGGATATCAATACTTTTTTACGTACATTTTTATTAACGTACATTCTTGTAGAATTCTTTGTACTTTGTCTGCAATATATATAAAAACATGCAAATATATAATAATATATAAAAAGGTAAAATGTAAATATTAATGTAAATATTAATGTAAATATTTGGAAGTTTTTTCTTACTGTAGGTATTTGAGCTGGCATCCGTGACTGGTTTTTGAATACCAGAGGTAACTTCTCTATTGGACGAATTGGTTCTAAATCACACACACACACACATGCAAACATAATAATATATAAATAAATAAATAATACATAATAACATATAAATAACATATATACTGTGACGTGGCCGTCCCGTCGCGTCTATCCGCCCCGGCAATTGTGACGGGGCGCGAGCCGAGTGGCCGCGCCAAGGGTCAAGAGAGAGAGAGCTACCGTACTCCCCGGAGAGACGAGCGAATAGGCATAGTTGCGTATAGAATTAACTGTTTTTTTTGTACTTTTATTTGGTACCTGGCTTGAGGCACCTCACCATGGAACACCGACGAACAGGGAGGGCATCATCGCCTCCCCGCGACAGCTAAGAACGACAGCCAAGGAAAACTCAGAAGAGTCGAGGATCCTGTCCGGACAGCCCTGCATCATGAATCCGGACAGGGGAGAGCAGCATGGCTCCCGTCGACAACCGGGAACGACAACCGCTGCGACAGCCATCCTCCTGGAGAGGATACGTCCGGGAAGGACCTCGCCCGGGCCATATAAGGGCCCGCTACAGCGTTCAAGTTTGGCGCTATTTCGCGCGGGGCGCGGAAAATGCCTCGCGTGGCGCGCGAGGCGCCAGGACCTCGCGCGTGTCGGCCGCTAATTGGCCGGGGGTCCGCGCATCCCCCTGCGCGGCCAACGACCCCGCTATCGACCCTGGATCGCGAGATCCAGGGCTCACTTTGTCGCGGCCGCTCGCCTAAACCAGTCGAAACGTATTGTCGTGTGCACTTGTGAGACGAGACCGTGAAGGACGAGACCGAGGATCATCCCCGCAGCCGGGAGAAGAATTCTTCGGTGAGGTTGCCCACGAATTATTGTACTCCGCGAGCGTGATCGTGTCCGCTCGCCGGCCGTTCTGTCGCCGTCGCCATTACGGCTTATCGCGACCGCTCGAGCCTTCTGCCGAGTCGGTCGATTTTGGTGTATTTCGGGCGACCGGAGACAAGCGACCGAGGAAGCGCGGACACTGGCGACGGAAGTGCGTATCGTAGGGTAATTCTCGTCTCTCTCCGGGTATCAGGGTGCGTAATACGCGTAGCATCCGACCATTGGGTATCGACCGCGTGCGTCGTAAATCGCGAGAAATGCGTAGTTCGCACGGGCTGTCGTTTGGTTGTCGAAGCCGCGTCTCGCACCTCTGAAATATGTCTCAGAGCGAGTCTGTGGAACGTAATTGGTCGTGATTAATGCGTTTTCGTGTAGTATCATCGTCGTTCGGGAATATTGCGTGAAACTGAGTATTATGTCGCGTCCATTGTGTGCGTGTGAGTTATTCGTCTCGCTAGCAGGAACGTAATTCTCGAAATTGTCGCGGTGTGCGGGTATCGCACGATTCTAAGTATTGAGATCTGAGGTCAGGAAATTCCTGGCGAATATCGCGGCTATCGAAGGAGGCGCGGTGCGGGACTGTCGCCCGGCCTCCCTTATTTCCTTGATACGAGAAGATAATTAATTCTCACGCTGTCGAAGGTATCGGGGTGTGTAACACGACATTGTCGCCTCGCCCCGATTGCCAGAAATATTTGGGTTGCGAGCGTTGCCGAAAAGGGCGAAAAAATCTCCGTCCGCCGCCGGCGATCGAACTTCGCCGGTATCGTCCGCCCATCGTATGCGAGATCTCTCCTCGCGGAATTCATATCTCGTCGCTTATNTAAGATCATCTTAAATTAGAGAACCTCTAGGAGAAGAATGGACAACTGATCATGTGACATGTGATCAGCTTTTTCAATGATTGGCTGGCAGAAAATGTATCAATTTTAGCTATTGCGACCGCCAATGCAAAATATGATCACACACAAATAGGTTAATATATGTGTGTCATGTGTGTCCTATTTGTGTGTCATCATATTTTGCATTGGCGTCGCAATAGCTAAAATTGATACATTTTCTGCCAGCCAATCATGAAAAAGCTTGATCATTGTCCATTCTCTCTCCTAGAGGTTCTCTATCTTAAATCTCTCATTCCACTCTCATTCCACCAATCAATGACTGGATTGTGCTATTTGATTGGTTGAATGAGTTCTTAAGATGATCTTGTCACGGATGACTTCCGCGAGATGATCGGATAGTCGCAGTCGGATGCGGGATTCGGTTTTCTGTGTAAGCTAATAATTATAACGGCAGTTTAGTTTAAAAAAAAAAATAACAAAAGAATATTTATTCAGAGAAAATAAGTACAGCAGTTGATGTGTGTGTGTGTGCGTGTGTTAAGTGTACGGTGTGAGTTTTGTATGCGTGTATGAGAATAAATCGAGTGCAGCGTGATTTCGATGGGTGTATAAACTGCGCGCGGATAATCAGCATGAATCGATTAATCGATAGGCACGATATGATCGCTGGCGAAACGCTTAAACGGTGCGAGTAGTTATTAAACCGGATGCAGACGACTGCATCCGGTGTACAATGTGACGGATAATTAGTGCGATAGCTCGGTATCGTTTATAAATCAAGTTTCGGGAATTGGAATGCGTTTAAAGCCCGACATATACAACAACAACGCGTCAGCTGTATTGTTGTTTTGCCTGAGGGCAATGCTCTCGCGAGACACGGCGCGTATCTTGCCTTTTATAACTGCCTATATTCGAGACGCTCGGTTTACGCGAATTCGATTTAGATTGAATATTTTAATATGTTCTTCGCGATGGATGGATGCCGCGGGATTCCGCCATGCGAACGAGAACACTCGTCGGAGGCAGCTCTGCTCTCTACCTCCGGATAAATTTGCAACGCGGTACGATGGCGGGATGTATTGCCTGGGTCAAGATTGCTCGACGGTGCCGGAGTACTCTCCAGCACGGTTTCCTTAGGCAGAGTAGATTTAGTCTAGGAAGCGCGGCCCTAAGTCCGAAACTGAGAAAAACTCAGCTGAGGCAGAGTACGTTCTACCCTCTATTCGGGGCTTGGCTGGCTTTGCTTCTAAAAATGGATCGTGATCTGGATTACTTGGCTTGTAGCAAGTGGAATCAGGATCTGAGTCTAGATTTACTCGAGGGCCCTTTTTATACCCCGGCTAATTAGTCTCGCGCCGGCGTACACTGTGCGACAACGATTCGTTCCGTGGTCCCTCTCGCGAGGCAAGGGGAGCGTAGCTTCTAACCAATCAGCTATTGTCACGCTGCCAGCTGATTGGTCACTTCTACGCTCCCTTTGCCTCGCGAGAGGGGCCACGAACGAATCGTTGTCGCGCAGTGTACAAAAGAGTGTACACACAGGCCCCCACCGAGCGATTAAAAAACGGTAACTATGGACCGCTTGGGGGGCGCGACGGGTTCCGGCGCGGGATTTCTATCCGGGGTAAATCGGGCGTCCTCGGCTTTCCTCGGTTCGTTTTGGTTTTAAACCCGTTCGAAATGCTCGAATTTTTAACGAAGATTTGACGCGGCGTGCTTCTGCTTTTGCTCGGCGGATATTTTTCCGGGCGGCAGCTTCCGGCTGATCTTTCGTTCCGGGAATTCGTAACATGCACTGGTGGTGCATCGTTACAATCTTAAATGTAAAGCGTCGTCTACAATAGGGTAGAGTAAGCGTGGCGTAAGAAGTAAGAGTAGAAGTAAAAGAGCTATTTCCGGTTAAGAAAGCTGGAGTAAGGGCGTAAGCAAAATGAATTATTTTTATTTCTTACGCCTACTCTTACTCTTACACTTACACTCAATCAATCAGAACGCAGGGAAGAAAACCCAGGAAGGTTAAAAACATGAAAACGAAAGATCGCTCGAAAACGTCATTAATTGCAAATGTGTTTTGCTATTGTAATTGCTTTATTAATAATTGTTTAACGTTTGACTGTCGGGATGGCAACGTCACAAACTATAATATTACTCCACTGTATTGTAGATTGAGTCAGCGTAAATAGCTTACGCCGCAAACGTTACTCCTTCTCTTACTTCTTACGCCAAGCTTACTCCACTTATTGTAGGACGCTTAAGACCGGACTATGAATATCGACCGATGTGTTAAGTCTCCTTAAAATCTTATTGTAGACCGACGCTTGATCGGACTGAGCAGTGGTTCTCAAGGCTTTCGCACATGTATTGCCATAACCATAAACGTAAAACGTAAACGTAAGCTGAAGAACCAATCAGAATATTGCTTTAAGGCCATTCTACAATGGCCGTAGCATAAGGTTGTAAGGCGTAAGATTAAAAAAATTGATCAATCACAATCGAGTATTCTCTTAAGGCCTTTGCATGTACAAAAATTTTAGTCGTAACTATAAGGTCGTAAGAAAATTGACCAATTACAGTTGATTATTACAGTTCTTTATCGCAAAAAAATACTCGACTATGATTTGTCAGATTCCTTACGATCTTATGGTTACGACTAAAATTTTTGTACGTGCAAAGGCCTTTAATACTTGACTGTGATTGGTCAATTTCTTGAGTCTTAGGGCCTATCCAGACAAAACTTGCATAGGTGCATATGCATAACATAAGACCATATGGACCAATGAGTATCGAGTATTAAATCGCTATATTGACTTACATAACATAATACTCGATGCTCATTGGTCTTATGTTATGCATATGCACCTATGCAAGTTTGTCTGGATAGACCCTTAGCCCGGGTCTACAATAGGTAATTTAAGCCCTAAGCCTTAAGAAATTGACCAATCACAGTCAGATATTCTCTTCATACTTGACTGTGATTGGTCAATTTCTTAAGGCTTAGGGCTTAAATTACCTATTGTGGACCCGGGCTTACGCCTTACAACCTTATGCTACGGCCATTGTAGAATGGCCTTAAAGCAATATTCTGA